TTATCAAAAAGGCATTCTGCGCCTATACGGCGGAATTGAGCATTGTGTCGCGAACGCGATCGTAATTTCCATAATTATCACTTAGACATAAATTTGTAGTGCTAGAGCCTACTTTTTCTGACCTTGCCGCGCTCCTTCCATATTCTGAATGGCTATAGGCATGCGCGTTCCCAATCAGGCTCTCCTTTTTATGATCACCAAGATTGACCTCGTGTTCTTATGGCTCTTGTGTGAATCCAAGTTTGCAGGCAGCTCGCCTTTTAGAGCAAGATGTCATGAGTGGATTGTTTGTAGTGCAACTGGCATGAGTATTGTTAGATCAGGGTCACAGGGTAGTCGCACGGCGACATTTTTGGTGCCGAAACCAATACTGATGCCGGATATGGTGTGAGACCGAGAGCAGATATGGCAGAACCAGACTCCATCAACGCCCAGGCGAAGACGAAACGGAAGGTGCTGCAGGCCCACGTGAAGTTCTTGAACCAGCGCTCCGCTGAGGCCAACACGTTGCTGTCTGGCACTCCAACTCCGGACGAGATAAGTAGTCTGATTACTGTATTTGCTTCTACGATAAAGAAAGGCGAGGAATTGTTCGACCTGTTTGCTAATGTGGTATACGACTTTGAGGCTACAAAAAAGGGTGATAAAGAGAAAAAGAAACACGATGAGCAGTATGTCGATGTGGTTGTGGAATTAATTACGGAATGCAATGATCTATTGGCACAGTTACGAGGGAAGTCAGTCCAGTCTAAAACAGCATCACCAGTGGAGATAATAGATCTGACGAAGGTCATGGAAGCCAATACGAAAACACAGGCAGAAACAGCGAAGCTATTAAACCAGTTTGTCTCAGAACAAGGTGCCGCCAATGGCACTCCAGTCACAGTATCAAGTTCAACGAAGCTCCCTGTCCTAAAAATACCTGTGTTCAATGGCAATGTGTTGCAGTACCCAGAATTCATTGACATGTTTGAATCCACTATTCACAATAATACCAAGCTGTCCAATGTGGAAAAATTAGTGTACTTGAGAAATCACCTGAGCGATGCAGCACTAGATACCATAACGGGCATTACCTTAACGGGCAAGAATTATGCAGCAGCATTAGGGCTCCTAAAAGAGCGATTTGGAAAGCCACAAGTAATTGCCAACATGACGTATCACAAGCTTGTTGCAATTAAGCCACCAGTGAACACACCAGTAGCGTTACGGAAGTTCCAAAATGAAGCAGAGGCGCACTTGCGGTGTCTGAAATCAGCTGGTTCAGACATCCAGCAAGAGATAATCGTACCGCTACTGATGTCAAAACTGCCAAAAGCGATAATCATTGATATGGAGAAAAGAAAAACCGGTGACAATTGGTCTGTGGGCAAACTACTTACGGTCTTGGGTGCATTAATTGACATCCTTGAAGCAAGTGATCACATGGCATCTGTACACTTCACACCTTCTAATGGGCGGGTACACAGGGAAACAAACCAAGAGGGTATGGCCACCAGTTCCTTACTCATGAATCAGACCACGCACAAAGGCCCGAAATGTTGGTATTGTGGAGGGTCACACTATACGGATGAATGCCCAGCATATCCAACGTATGAGAAACGGAAAGAGAAAATCACAAATGAATGTTTCGTATGTCTGAGGAAAGGACATAGTGCAGCAGATTGCAGAGCTGGTGCACGTACATGCTACCATTGTGGGAAACGCGGGCATCACCGGTCATTATGCATGAAGAAATTTGATCCACAATCCAGGCTAGATCCAAAGGCACGAGAATTCAAAAGTGCAAAGCCAATCAATGTTCAATCTTGCAATGCAGAGCTAAGGCCGCCTGTAGCTGACGTACATGCAACAAATGAAGTCTACTCCCAGAGCAATGTGGTACTAATGCAAACAGCAATGGCAGAAATCCAGAATGGTGACCACACTTGCAACGCACGCATCTTGTTCGACACTGGGTCGTCCCGTTCATTTGTGCACCGAAATGTCACTACCTCACTACACAGTAAACCAGTTGGTCAAGATGTTTTGGCAGTAGCCGGGTTTGGTTCCAAGACCAGAACTACTCGCACTTACCCTAGGGTAGAGTTACAAGTCAAATTGCGTGATGGATCCTTCCAACCGATATCTGCAAATATCACTGACCACATCTCTTGTCCAATGAATATGGCTCCGTTAGATTTGTCGAAACATCCAGCCATTGCAAAATTGCCACTAGCTGAGCCCCTTGGCACTGAAAGCACCCAGGCTCCGATTGACATACTAATTGGGAGCGACCAGTACTTTGAATTTGTGGGTCTGGAGCATTTGAAATTGGGAAATGGGATTGTAATGCTTGACACGAAACTGGGTTTCATCCCGACGGGTAAAGCAGACCAACATGATTCAATGCCAGATATCCATGCAATGTGCACGTCTGTTGAAAGCGAAGTACAACATCCAGATTTCGACCTACAGAAATTCTGGAAGCTAGAGCAGATTGGCATAGATGAAGATAATGGAGTCACAGATGACACCCTAGCGTACGACAACTTCAATGCAAATGTTGAGTTCATTAATGGTCGTTATGTAGTGTCATGGCCATGGAAATTAGACCCAGAAACTTGCCTACCAGAGAACTTTGATTTGGCCAAAGGTAGATTGAAATCTCTCATGCACAGAATGGAAAAAAACACCAGAAGTACTCACGAAGTATCACGAAACGATACTGGGACAGATGGAAATGGGTGTAATTGAAGAAGTCAACGACTCTAGCAGCGAATAACGCAGTGACAACAACAATGGCAGTCACACTGACAACAACACAGAGAGCAGCGTACATCACTACATACCACACCACTGTGTAGTCAAGCCGAGCAGCACGACGACGAAGATACGCGTAGTGTACGACGCATCTGCCAAGACGAAGGAAGGCAACAAGTCACTTAACGAGTGCATCCACAGAGGCCCAGTGCTGCTGCCAGACCTTTGCGGCATCCTCCTTCGCTTTCGTTTGAATCCCATAGCAATGAGCAGCGATATTGAGAAGGCGTTCTTGCAAGTCGGCTTACATGTCCGTGACCGCAATGTCACACGCTTTCTTTGGGTTCGAGACCCCAGCAAGCCCCCCAGAGGTGACAACATCGTCATCTACAGATTCTGCCGCATCCCCTTTGGCGTAATCGCAAGTCCATTCTTGCTTGGTGCCACCATACGACACCACATCAGTTCTTCAGAGAACACGCAATCGCAGGCTGTAGAGAATAACACTTACGTCGACAATGTCCTCGGCGGAGCGGAAAGCGTAGAAGACGCAGTAGAGTACTATCGAGAAGTCAAGGGCATCTTCGCTCATGCATCAATGAATCTACGGGAGTGGGCGACAAACTCCGAGTCCCTCAAGCAGCAGATCCCTGAGAGCGATCGCGCAATCGCTCAACTCGTCAAGGTCCTTGGTATGGAGTGGGACACAAACTTGGATGAGCTAGGGCTCACTCCAAACCCAGCTGAACTCAAAAACGTTCAGACGAAGCGGCACATGCTGAGCGTGTTATCATCGTTCTACGATCCACTGGGAATCTATTCGCCAATCGTATTCCGCGCGAAGGTTCTACTTCAGGAGATCTGGAAACTGAAGTGCAATTGGGACGATGTCTTGCCAGCAGCTATTCTTACAGAGTGGCATGAGATAGCTCATGACTTATCCACAGCCAGCCAAACCAGAATACCAAGACTTGCGAGTTTCACCTCCAACGTTGAACCAAGGTATGAGCTCCATGTTTTCTGTGACGCATCAAAGGCAGGCTACGGAGCCGTGGCGTATCTACGCACTATCTCGACGAACGTGTCTGTTCGCTTACTCTTTGCCAAGTCTCGTGTGGCACCGTTAAAGGAAACAACAATACCAAGGTTGGAGTTACTCGCAGCCACGCTAGGTGCTCGAATGATCAACTTCTTACGGAAAGAACTCCCTCTTCAGCTCACTACGTACTTGTGGTCAGATTCTCAATGTGTGCTAGGATGGGTGAAAGGGAAGGGCAAGGATCTGCCGACGTTCGTAGCACATAGGGTCGCAGAAATCCGCCGCAATGAAGACGTGCAATTCTGTTATGTGAACACAAGAAGCAATCCTGCCGACCAACTCTCAAGAGGCACCACGACTGCAACCCTCCTCAAGAGTAATCTGTGGTGGACAGGTCCCGAGTGGTTGGCGGATGTACAATGGGCACCGGATACTGATTCTTGTCAAGAAGAAGTCGTTCACGCCGCTTTGTCGGGGGAGGGTCCTGCGGAGCAACAGGCGAGCAACCCCCCACCGGCTGGTATTCGTATTGAGAAATCATCATCCTTCACGAAAGTGATCAGGGTTACAGCATGGGTACAGCGTTTCATAAAGTCAGCAAGAAAGTCTCGTCCAACATCACCATACTTATCGGTTGACGAACTTCAGACCGCGGAAATGCTTTGGCTGAAACATGCGCAAGCCACTGATTACCCAGCAGAACTGGACGCCATCAAGAACAACAAGAAAACCAAGGGCGACTTGATGTTACAAGTTGGGTCTCTTTATTGATGAAGAAGATGGCCTAATCAAGTGCAGAGGCAGGATGAAGAATGCAGAACTGCCATCAAATGCTAAATTCCCGATTCTCCTCTGCGGAAAGAGTGCGCTGACGAGATTGATCATCTCTGATGTACACCAGAGAGTTCTCCACGCTGGCGCTAGTCACACGCTTGTGGAATTACGTAAACGCTTCTGGGTGACACGAGGTAGAAAAGAGGTCACGAATGTAGTTAATCAGTGCAAGGTATGCAAACGGTTTGAGGGTGGCCCCTTTGCAATGCCCAAGTTCGCACCTCTCCCCAAAGAACGGGTAACCCGCAGCGCACCATTTGTCAGGACTGGCATTGATTACTTTGGGCCCCTGACTGTTAAAGCCAATGGAGAAAACAAGAAAGTTTGGGTGGTACTGTTCACTTGTCTGGCAACACGGGCGTTGCACTTAGAGCTTGTACTAGATATGACTACTGACAGCTTTCTAATGGCGTTTAAGCGATTCGTCGCTCGCCGCGGTACACCGGCTACAATCGTGTCTGACAATGCTAAACAGTTTAAATTGGCAGACGTCACAATGGAGCAATTGTGGAAATCCATTAATACCAATGCGAATGTATTCTCGACACTTGCCACTATGGGTATTGAATGGCGGTTCATCGTTCAACTATCTCCATGGATGGGAGGGGTGTATGAACGCCTCGTCCAGTCCGTAAAACGAATGCTCAGGAAATCCCTCGGTAAACGAATTCTAAAGGCTGAGGAACTTTGTACACTGCTGACAGAAGTAGAGGGAATTCTGAACAGTAGGCCTCTCACGTATGTGGGTGAAGATTTCAATGGGTTTATCCTCACACCAGCGCACTTCTTGTGCCTCAACAACACTCTAACACTGCCGGGTGAGCAGTTAGATACGAATGATCCAGATTTCTGTGTCAAAACCTCGGGTGATTTACTTCTCCAGAAGTTCAATGTATGTCAGCAGCAGCTGAATCGCTTCTGGCAATTATGGCAAGACGAGTATCTAGCATCACTGAGAGAGCGTGGCGATTACCAGCTACGACAAGGACGTATTCGTGCCACTGACGAGCCAGCAGTTGACACAGTTGTCATCATCCGCGAGGAAACACTGCCCCGAGTTAGCTGGCCAATCGGCCGCATTGTGAAACTGCACGAATCTTCAGATGGTGAGACAAGATCCGCCACCATTCAGCTCCCCACTGGTAGGACAGTCAGACGGTCACTATGTCATCTTTACCCTCTGGAATGTCCATCAACACCAGCACAGGTGAGTAGTGAACCCGAACCAGTACCGGCAACTGAGAGCGCATCCAGTAGTGACGCCACCGGCACGACTCGGCCCAAGCGGCACGCAGCAGCTCGGTTTCAAGAACAGCTAGGTGAGCTTATCCGAGACGGAGCAGTTTAGTAACAAGAATGAGTGCACCGGATAGTAAGCCATGCTATGATGGTCTGAACACTCGTACACCCACGCACAAACTCACACATGCATACACACATACACACACACACTTATACACTGTATATACATACACAGCATGAACACGATTGCCTTCTGATCTTTGTTATGAACATGCTGCTTATGCGAACCTCCTTTGCTAGATACACTGCAGTATACATGTACTATTGAAGTAGTTTAAAGTAGATTGCCTTATTTCCGAAGGTGAACTTTCAAGATGAGTATTCAGATGCATGAACAGTAAGTTGATCTGAAGATGTAACTAGTGTCAATATATCATGCAGTCAGTCAGTATAGTAACGGTATCATTGAGTCAAGTTTGATACAGCTCTCCCACCATTGCGTCGTTTAGGTACCGTAGATCATTTTCGGCACAGATTGGTATTCATGATTTCAAGGCTGACAGCATTCGGAGCTATTTACATTGCATGTTCCTTTCTTGACATTCAGTTCATTGTGTAAATATGTTTACTGAGTATCATTCTTCATTTCTTCTCGCTGGCCGGAATGTCGCGAACGCGATCGTAATTTCCATAATTATCACTTAGACATAAATTTGTAGTGCTAGAGCCTACTTTTTCTGACCTTGCCGCGCTCCTTCCATATTCTGAATGGCTATAGGCATGCGCAGTATGGTACGCGCGCATATTAGGCATGCGCGATCTTGGCCCGTATAAATTAGGCATGCGCGTTCCCAATCAGGCTCTCCTTTTTATGATCACCAAGATTGACCTCGTGTTCTTATGGCTCTTGTGTGAATCCAAGTTTGCAGGCAGCTCGCCTTTTAGAGCAAGATGTCATGAGTGGATTGTTTGTAGTGCAACTGGCATGAGTATTGTTAGATCAGGGTCACAGGGTAGTCGCACGGCGACACATTGAAGCATAATTATGTTTTTTTATTATTTTCTCATTGTCATGTACACATTTTAGTCCATTCAATAACCAAAAATGAGGAAGATTGTAAATCAGGATCTTGATGAAAATTCATACCCGTCCGCTATACATCACAAATCCTGTACGAACTTGACAATTGAGTGAAACTGTCATCGCCTTTATTGAGACCCCATTTGCATACACTACCTTAGAGCAATCGCCCACCAAATTTTCAGAGCAATTGTTAATTTTTTTGAAATAGGCGTGAACCACCTTACTTGTGCTTATTCCCGCTTCACCTGATGCGCTGGATCCATGGACCCGACCAGGGTTGAATTTTCAATTGTTGCTGTATACTTTATTTATCCCAGTTCGAGTTGGTTTCAAATTCCACCCTCGATCGAGTAGATCCTATTTGGAGAGGGTCGGATCAAGAACACGTACTACATTACCGTACTCACGTGCGTGTCTTGCTGCGTTTGACAGTATTGCAAGGACACCATAGGCAAATTTTCCATCAAGTTAATCATGCACGCAACAACCCTACAGGACTCTTGAAATGGACTTTCGCATGACAGTGTAATCTCCCCGTTTCAACCAGATTTTTTTACTGGACTTCCGGCGTGTGTAGAAGTGTGTCCTAAACACAAAAAAATGTGTTATTGGAAAGACTAAACATTACATTCGAATGCCTAGTTTCAAACAGGGAGTTTGCAATACCGGAACGACACACTGGTTTCAACCAAGGAGTAGTAGTATAGTCCATTTCAAAACTATAGTCTAGACGCGTACCTAGGCAAAAACCGTTATGCCAGCATCTATACCACATAAAATCTGTGATCACTTTGTGCATAAAATTTTCCAAATTGGGCGTCTGTTATCCAATCCTTTAGAAACTATTATGAGAGTAATTGTGGAGCGATCCTGAGCAATATTCCGAAAACTATTCTCAAAAAGTTCCAGCCAAATTTGAAATATTTCAAAACCCTACGCGTCTTGAAATGCACTGTAGTACCATTTTGTACTACTCCCTGTAGCTGTACTGGTTTCAACCCTCCTCACGAACCTTTTTTTCACTGCGCAACCAAGTTGTACTGGAATCATTTTATTTGTTCCCTACATGGACTAATAAACACGTGGAGCTCACGACTCACGAGACACGCAAATCACCACGCGTAGATCTACGAGTACTATGGCCGACATGTACATAATTATGTCGACATCGCCGGACAGTGCACTATTGAACCTGATCCGTCGTACCGTATCGCCCTTTCATTTCGCTCCCATTCGGCACACTTTCTCCAAAAGGAAGTCTGCAATGTCAACATACGCTCCTGATCCTGGTTCAGCTAGAGAGGCGCACGCCTCGCAGCCCAGGCAGAACCCTGTGAATGTTTGAAGGGCCCAAACAAGGAGAAAGCTGCTGATGGTGAACAGTTAACAGCAGAAGTAAAGTAGAAACAGATGCCTTCGAACTTGAAGCGCGAGCTCTCGGGAGGTGCTATTGGAGGCAATGCTGGCAGTGGGTTGCAGAGGTCACTCTCAGCCATACCGGCTACAACCAGCAACCATTCCACTCGAGTTCTGCCACCATCACCTTCCCAGCAGCAGCTCCAACCTGCTAGGAGTCAAGATGAACTCACAGCAGCAGCAGATAGCCAGAATGAACCCAGGTACATGTTCTGTGGCCCACAACTACGATCGCAGTTGAGCCCGTCTCCATCTGTCATGAGGGCACTTCCTGAGACACCCCTGGGCTCGTCACCCACCCGGAAGCGAGATTTCAGTTCTGGTGCAGACCCACTGTACAGTTCGGTGACAGTCACTGATGGAACTCCTGCTGCGCCATCAACCAGAGTGGCTGTGCCTGCAGGAAAAGCTCGCAGCACGACATTAGGCATATCAGGGTCTGCGTCACACTCTAGCATAACATTAACACAGGGAGCTGGTGGTCGTGATGACCTTACACCCAAGTCACCAATGGGCAGTGCTGGGGAATCAGGTTATCTGCGTACAGTGGATCCGCCGTATGCAGACGTCAACAGCCTTTATACGAGGAGTGGTGTGTCACTGGGCAGACAAGATGGAGCTGGGCCTGGCAGCAGACGACTCAGAGAGACGCATTCGGACATTGTAGGATATCCACCGAAACCGGTGTCCACCAAGCATCCTGAAATGCTGCCTCCTGTTCCCTCTGATGCCTACACATCTATTGATTATACAATGAGGCCCGTGCAGGAGACAGGAGACGCGTCGGAGAAATTTCCCACAGCTTCCTCACAAACTAGACCTATGCAAAGGGTCTCATCTAGCCCAGCAAGTCTGCTAGGTCGGCCAGACACAAGTGATAGCAGCAGTCCACCTGCTCAAAGCCGTGGTCACGACGTCTACGCTAAAGTCAGTCTGAAAACGAGACTAATTACCATTAAGGATGCTGAAGCCAACTGCTGACAAGGATCCAGGCCATCGCAGGAATGGTCAAAATACTGTCATGGAGTGCTACTATGTAAGAGTCCATCCATGTGAATACGTACAGTGTTTGTCCTGCCTGCGGATATCTTGGCAAGCTTTGAACACCAATGTGTAACTTCTGGCACGCTTGCAATGCATTGTAAGCGATATCAGTACCTGGTAGGTCCACTGTTTGAGCTAGTCCATAACTATTTTCTGACCTTCATGGCATTCTGTATGTATGTACGTATGTATGTACATACATACATACAGAATGCCATGAATGTCAGAAAATAGTTATTCATGGCATTCTACCAGCTTCAATAGGCCAAAGCAATCTCGCCATCAAATTGCTTGTGTATATCTTGCCTATTTGGAATGCCAACGTGTCATTTCTGGCATGCTTGCAACACATTCTAAGTCGCACCTGACAGGTGTACTGTTTCAGCTGCTCCGTAATAATTTTTTTCTGTGATTCGTGGAATTCTATCATTTTAAATAGACCAAAGCCTCATTATCAAACTGCATGATCTTCGCAGGTAATCGGGTCATTTTAAGTGATGATACCAATATGGATACTTCACATTTGATCCTGCATTGGTGCCACATATTTTGTGGCCATAGTGAATGCCTAAAAAGTGTACAAAACTGATCGCCCGTGTGTGCGTCAAGCACAGACGATGCAATCATTTAATCGCTTTTCCTTGTTCACATCTAAGATAGAAGGAGTGATTTTTTTTAAATGAAATGCATCACCTCGTATGTATGTATGGTGACTGCTCTTCTTACTGTTTCCAAACCCGCTGCTGCTTATGAACTTAGCTTTGTGATCTTTTCCACATTTTAGTCCACTCGCAACTTGAAATTTATTTGAGCTGACGACCTCTATCTCCGTACACAGTGAACACGATCAGTCCACGTGATGGACCGAAGCCGAGCCACGGTGCACGTACACCGCCACCCATCTTCAATATCCTGAATAGACAGTTGGTCAGTCTTCGCAGTGCAATATCTGTAGACGTGCGTGTGTCGTGCAAACTTACACGCGGTCTGAGTGCACCAATAGCTATTAGAAGATAGGAAGTCTAAAGATATAATAGGGACGTTTAGCAATGCGAAAATTCGAACTTTTGGTGGTGGCGATATTTCGCGAAAATCTATTTCGAAAAAGAAAACTTGTGAGGTTTAGCAATGCGAAACGACTTTTTCTCGAAGCTATTTGAATCTTATAGTACCGTACCGTATATGCAGCTCAGTCTCAAGCAGGGGGCTGTAAAATTACTACTCCCTGTAGTGAAATGCGTACCGAGAAAAGAGAAAGTTACTTTCGCAAATCACTGCAACTTCGCGTCCAAGTTTTCGAAGGTTCGACCTTTGTTTCTGTACTCATTCCCAGACTCGAATTTTCTTTCGAACTTTCGCATTGCTAAACATCCTTATTATCATGGCTGTTGGACAGGTGGTGTCTAGAGACTGGTTATCCTGAATGTTTAGTCACAATCACCTGAATGATGTCATGTGAAAATAGACGCCGGGCGCTACAGTAGAGACGCGCCCCGAAGAACGTTTAGCCCAAGGGCGTCCAGCCTGAAACGCTACAAACACCACTGCCTAAAAAAACGGCGGTATTGGTTTTTCCGGCAGCTTTTGGGATAAAATTTATATGATCCAGTACGAATTGTTTTTAATACCGTGCTACAGTAGAGTCGCGCGTTGATGAACGTGGAGCCCAAGAACGTCCAGCCTGAAATACTTCTAATGCCACAGTTTAAAGTTAAGAACGGCTGTGGTAATTTTCTGGGTGCTTGTGGGATAGATATAGTCCGGATTGGTTCTAAGAACTTGATATAAGAAAGCAGCCAGATTGATGAAAAAATCAGAATGTCCCAGGCTAACCCCTTGGAAACAAGGTTCTTGGACGCGCGACACTATTGTGGTGTGTCTCGGACTGCTCAACAGCTTACAGATACGTGCGCAGAGTAAATAGCCCAATACCGGGTACTCTTAGTAGTAAATGTCATAGACGAGGCAAAGCAATGAAAGCCGAAGTGCTGTCACCTCGGAATTAGAGGATATGCCATGAAGTCAATTCCGTATAAATATGGAAGCTAGCTCAGAGGGAAAATACCCATTTTATAGGTCAAGTGCTGTACAGAAACCAAAGTTGAGTGGAAAACGTGCTATGTGACGTGAGTTGCATATCTCGCTTGGCCGTCTGCATGTTGTGCAAACAGTATTATGCAGAGACAATGGTATGTGCTAATGCTGAATTTCTCCATGGTGTTTGTTGTCATAGGGATGCATGTTAAAAATGGTCGTCAATCAGGGCAGCACAGGGGCATTGCAACAGTGGGATTGTGAGAAACGAACACCCACGGCTGCATGCAGGTTATGGCAAGTGTGATTGTATGCCGCTTCGGTGCCAGATGAAACTGGGTTGAGTATAGCCATGGAGACAGGGAAGAAAGGGGGGGGGGGAGGGTGATAGAGATTGAACATTACCAGTATATGCATATGGTGACGGAATTATCCGTATAAGGATAGCAGAGTAAATGCAGTGGGAAAATGCAGCCTGATTAGAATGTCGACAAAGGATATTCCAGTCAAAAAGGTGCATCCTGATATTCGTTGCGTCGTCGACTTGCTGGGTACGAGGGTGCGGGTCGGATAATGTCCTCCAAATGTGGTGGCGTGTTTGTGAAACATCGCGGCGCACAAAAACCCATGACATCAATATCGCCAGCAGCTACATTGGGCGTATTTCCCGTCATGCCTTCTTCTGAAGCGGGTTGATGTGAAGCGGAAAGCCTTGCGTCATGGCAACCATCCACTGACTGTGTGTTCACGGTTATGCGGTCATCCGAGTAGGGCTTGCACTGTTCCACTCTCATACTGCTAGTCTGTCCGGGGCCTCTGTACTGCCTGCGAGGCAACGATGCCTTCATGGACGGATATACTCGTTTTAGCCGGTTCTCTTGCACTCGTATACGCTCGGCATCGTCCTCGCCATTGGAGCATGAGCTTTGCATCGGGTCGTATTCTTCAGTGGCAGTTGGTGCTGTCTTGAGTTCAAAACACCCGTATTCAAATGGATCCTCAAGTTGGTGATGTGCCTGCAGAGCAGCTCCTTCCTCTGGCTCAAGGAGTATATCCTGTCCGGTTGTGCACAGCATCGCTCCGGGAACTAGATATGTGCCAGAGACGACAGAGGCTGGGCTGGTGGTCAGGCTTGCGACAGGGAAGGCAGGCGTGGAGGCACAGTCGGGTGTATGGTGGTCAGTGGCGCCATTCTCACAACTCCATACTGGGGTAGGCTGCCCAGGTGGATCGGTCGTGGTTGTTTCCGTACCTGTTGCTATCGTGTGCACTATTCCCATGTCAAGTTGACCTGCACTTGCTCCTCCAGCATGCGGCGATTGCACTGAAGTAGTACGTTGATTTGCGGCTGTGGCGTAATCATAGTCGTTGACCATGTCCATGGGTGTTTCGTACGCATCGACGGACGAGTATTCATTGGTGTGCGTGCCGCTTAGCGGCACCGGAGGGCTGGTGTTTTCCTGCTGCGCTTTGGGGTTCGATGTGCCCTGATGCCGTGGGGTGCTTGTCCTTGCAGTGCTAACGGTTAGCGCTGGGTTGTTTGCGTAGAGTATGGTGTCTTCCGGGTTTTCAGCCTGGGGCTGTGCGAGAGATTGGCCGCGGCCCCGCTTGTAAAGCAGGTGGATCAAACATGCCATTAGAACACCTGCACTAACCAGTATGGCACTTATTGGTAGGATGAAGGTGAGATCTATACCGGTGGTGCCGCTGGTGTTCTGGTCTTGCACTGTTGCACCCCTCAGTGTAGATGTTTGCGTAAGACTGTAAGCAGGAAAGTAATTGGAAGAAGTCATATTTGTGGCGCCAGTGTTGTTGATGGTGTTATTTTCCATGTTGTCTGTGGGGCAGTTCGAGTCACTTTCCCTCCTGTCTAGACTGCAGACCAAGTTGGGAATAGATGGTTGCAAGATTTGACTGCTGGCGTTGAAAGAGAAGCGCAGAACGCCTGCTAGACATAAGCGTGCGGCAACCAAGATCGGTTGGATCCCTCTATCTGATCGGTCTCCACCAGTGACGGTTGGGTGGTTTGTAGCGTTATCAGGCGACACTGGATCTCCTCCATCCATCATCAGCCCTGTTGTAGTAGTGTACGTCTTTGTCGTGCTCATTGTCGGTGCATTGGAAGGTGGTGAGAGAATACAACCACGGGCGTTTGTGGAGTTCACAGCCCTGACGTCTGTGGTGTATGCAACACTGACGTTTCTGTAGTTTACAATGTTGACGTTGGTGCAGTTTGCAATGCTGACAATTGTGCAGTTTGAAATGCTGACGTTTGTCGAGTTCGCAATGCTGACGTTTGTGGAGTTCGCAACGCTGATGTTTGTGGAGGTTGCAACGCTGGCGTTTGTGGAGTTTGCAACGGTGACGTTTGTGGAGCTCGTAATTCTGACGCTTGTGGAGTTCGCAACACTGACGTTTGTGGAGGTTGCAACGCTGACGTTTGTGGAGTTTGGAACGCTGACGTTTGTGGAGTTCGTAATGCTGACGCTTGTGGGGTTTGCAACGCTGGCTGTTGTGGCGTTTGCAACGCTACCAACCGGCAATGGTTGGGCTTCATCCGCCATGAGCCCTGCTGCATTGGTGTCAGTGGAAGTTGTCTTCATTGCCGGTGGACGGGTAGGTTGATGCGCTTCATTCCACCGAATGCAGGGTACATATTCGTTCGTGTCTTGGCAGGTACTGGAGACTATGATCAAAATACGGAAACAGCCAACACAAACGCATGCACGCAAATTCCGAAATACACACACATGTATAAATACACAAACACACATGCAACCGCACACATACACAAACACACACACACACACACACACACACACATACATACACACATACACACATGCACACATAATTATTATGCCAACCCCAAAATACATACCAATTCAAGGTCATATCAGTTACTCATGTGCAGACACACAAACACACGTCAACTCCCTTCCTTGAAGTGGCTACGTATTATTATGTGCCATGAAGTGGAGACGATAAATAAATAAATAAACAAACCCATAATATGACATCGTGCTCATGCACCTATGCACACACACTATACATACTGGACAAACTCATACACGTGCGCGCGCACACACATACGCACACACACACCTTTTGACCTTTTGACCTTTTGACGCCCATCGCCGGAGGCGATGATAGCAATGCTATGGCAGAAGCCATAGCAACTTGTGCTGGGATTGCACCATTCAACAGCTTGCAAGGCTGAGGAATTGACCATCACTATTCAGCCTGGTCTACACAGGCCCGGCGGAAGCAATTGTTCATTGGTCCGGCCAAGTGTTTTCGCCAGCACAGCACTTGCGCATGTGTGACACAACACAACGTCTCTTTGCTCATCGTAGGTCAACCATATAATATTATGACGCCTGACAAGAGCGCTTCACCACTGTCTTTTTCCCAAATTCCCGCCGAGGAAACGCGAAGGAAGTGGTTGGGTGGACTGGCACTTCTGGCACAGATATTTTGCTGGAAAAAGCCATAGCTGCTAAGCATGCACTGTAAGCTGACCAAACAGCGAGAAAAATTGATAAACTACTTCGTGCAGTACAAGAATCTGAAGCACTCGACGAAAAACCCTCAAGACTACAAAATTAACAATGACTACAAACAAAGACTTGTATGTAGAATCAAGAGTACATAAAAAAAGGTTTACACACACAACAGAGGCGAAAGGCTGTGTTAGCTGTGTAAAAAAGGTTTATGTACTCTTGGTAGAATCCATCATGGCACGTGCTTTCAGGTCGCGCGACTCGCGCCACGGGCCACGGCACAGGCCCACAGACGTTAGGTCTACAGGCCACAGCTAGCCCTCGATCAAGCCCGCACGCGTGCACGGCAAGATCAGAGCGAGATCGCAAGTACGCGTAGATCTACGTACATGCAATCGATGATCACATCATAACGTTACTGCGTCGTAAAAAAGATCGTCGGTGGCCGAAAAGTTGGTCCGGCCATGGCTGCACCGACCGGAGCGGCTCTGCCAGCCCTGCTATACCATCTATTTGAAGTGACTTTTTCTGGCCAGTGAATCCCAATTTTTGGTCTTTTCATTTTTTTCCCGCACACACCATCACACCACATACTCCGGCATGCACTGGCTGTTGGTAACCACCCAGGAGAATGAAAGACACACACACACACACACACACACACACACACACACACACACACACACACACACATGCACACACACACACATACATACATACATACATACATACAATAAACACACACACAAACGCACACACATACAACAAACACAAACACACACACACACACATGCACACACACATGCACATGCACATCCACACCCATGCATACACACACACACGCCTACATGCATACACATGCATGCACACACGCACATGCGCACACACACACACACACACATACATAATCATATAGATGTTGAATTTCCATGTTTATCCACGTAAGGATACTATCCGTTTATAGGGTGTGAGTTGTGGTGGTGGTGGGGGGGGGGGTAGGTATCTCTTGGCAAGACTGTACCTACTGCAAAGTAGACCAAACGTAGATACTACACATGAGTATAAACTTATAGTCAACTTCGCTACTTCCTCCGTATGCAAAAACTTCGTGACTTTTTTTGAAAGCTTTGCACAGCTCTGGAAGTGCTCCGTTTGACTTGGAATAACACTCGTGGCATTGTCTAACCTGTTTACAAGCTATATACAAAGAAAAAAGCAACTCAGGTGAATGAGATTGAGTTTTTTTCAGAGTCTTCGTCGCTCATGTCATTGTCACCTGACGACGCTGACTCCGCATCGCCAACAGTCGCTGCTTCCGCTCGCATTTCGTTCAGATTCTTGTCACCTTCAGTGATGATCCGACGCTGGACTTTGGCTACATCCTCTTCATCTCTAGAGCTTTATACGAATCGGTGTCGACCATATTCAGTCGTTCCAACCCGCGACCTCCATTATGCCGTGAAACGAGTCGTACAAGCACATCCACACGCTTCGCATTTTCTCGCCAAGCATTCTACAATGGCTTCGAGGAGATCCCTGCGATTCCCCTTGGCGACAAAAGAGACGTCTGACTGGAGAGAGGCGAAGAAAGCCAGGCCATCGACATTCTGATCCTGAGTCTGCGCTGGTTGCACGACAACTGAAATGTTTCATCTTGCCGTGCGAGCGAAACAAATCTATGTTCTCACGCTGCGTAGATCTATGGGGCCGCGCACCGCAGGTACGAGCCTGGCCAGTTTCAGGGCAGCAAGTGCCGCGTGACTCCGTGTTCCAGCCACGAGCTACACTTCGTCACTGTGTCAGTTTCGAGCAAGTAAGTATTAGTTTTTTTTGCATTTGACTCTTGAGTTTCTGTCGGCAACGTCCTCACACGCATGGCGTCCGTGGAGAATCTGTTCGGGATCAACCAAACTAACCTCGACATGGACGTGGGTTGTCGATGACAGCCTTTGGCGCCGTTCGTTGAGCAGGTTCTTGCTCAAAAAACACCGTTCAAAAAAGTCACGAAGTTTTTGTATACGGAGGAAGTAATAACGACTGCGGATATAACGACAATTCATGAATACCGACAGAATTTCCAAGCCCCGAGCAAAGTCCCATCTAACTGTAATGCGTGCAATGAGACTTGGGGTATAAGGACACTTCGCGAATAAGGACAATTTTCTGATGCCCCGTTGAGTGTCGTTATACGCAAAGTTGACTGTATACCTCGTTAATCCAGACGACCCGGGACTGGTCACTGCATTTAAAAGCTTTGAAGTGCCTGTAACTACGAGTCACATGCAGTTCGATGGCGAAAGGCCGTAGATGTGGCATATGTTGTCACTTTTTCGCAAGAAAATGACTAAGTAGTGGTACTATTTCCACTCAGGAAACCCACGCAAAGGGTGCCCAGTAGACCGAAGTACCCGTAACTTCGTGGTCCGGATCATCGAGGTCGGAGCGTACTGGTGCAGTCGCTGACAAAATTTAAAGACACTTAGTTGGTAAATTCAAGCAAAGCAAGAGTAGATGGCCACATTAAAGTAGGGCTGAACAGGGTGATCCGGGTGCCCGTCTGTTTAGCTGCTGGTCCGTTATCAAACAAAACAATTTGGGGGGGGGGGGGTTCCCGTTCTCGGGGCCTTCTATTCGGTACTCTTTGTAGTTGTGCTTCTGTACTGTTGAGCTATCCGAATTCAAATAAACACTAAAATAATATTCAAAAAATAATAAAACGAGTGTCCATTAGTCGTGTACAACGGTATGTTACAGTATTAGTATCTGGCTTGTACAGTTATACAGTACAGTTATACAGTACAGTTTGATGTACAGTTATACAGTACAGTTTGATGTACAGTTATACAGTACAGTTTGATGTACAGTTATGCAGTACAGTTTGATGTACAGTTATACAGTACAGTTATACAGTACAGTTTGATGTACAGTTATACAGTACAGTTTGATGTACAGTTATACAGTACAGTTTGATGTACAGTTATACAGTACAGTTTGATGTACAGTTATACAGTACAGTTTGATGTACAGTTATACAGTACAGTTTGATGTACAGTTATACAGTACAGTTTGATGTACAGTTATACAGTACAGTTATACAGTACAGTTATACAGTACAGTTTGATGTACAGTTATACAGTACAGTTTGATGTACAGTTATACAGTACAGTTTGATGTACAGTTATACAGTACAGTTATACAGTACAGTTTGATGTACAGTTATACAGTACAGTTATACAGTACAGTTTGATGTACAGTTATACAGTACAGTTTGATGTACAGTTATACAGTACAGTTTGATGTACAGTTATACAGTACAGTTTGATGTACAGTTATACAGTACAGTTATACAGTACAGTTTGATGTACAGTTATACAGTACAGTTTGATGTACAGTTATACAGTACAGTTTGATGTACAGTTATACAGTACAGTTTGATGTACAGTTATACAGTACAGTTTGATGTACAGTTATACAGTACAGTTATACAGTACAGTTATACAGTACAGTTTGATGTACAGTTATACAGTACAGTTTGATGTACAGTTATACAGTACAGTTTGATGTACAGTTATACAGTACAGTTATACAGTACAGTTTGATGTACAGTTATACAGTACAGTTTGATGTACAGTTATACAGTACAGTTATACAGTACAGTTATACAGTACAGTTTGATGTACAGTTATACAGTACAGTTTGATGTACAGTTATACAGTACAGTTTGATGTACAGTTATACAGTACAGTTATACAGTACAGTTATACAGTACAGTTTGATGTACAGTTATACAGTACAGTTTGATGTACAGTTATACAGTACAGTTTGATGTACAGTTATACAGTACAGTTTGATGTACAGTTATACAGTACAGTTTGATGTACAGTTATACAGTACAGTTATACAGTACAGTTATACAGTACAGTTTGATGTACAGTTATACAGTACAGTTTGATGTACAGTTATACAGTACAGTTTGATGTACAGTTATACAGTACAGTTATACAGTACAGTTTGATGTACAGTTATACAGTACAGTTATACAGTACAGTTTGATGTACAGTTATACAGTACAGTTTGATGTACAGTTATACAGTACAGTTTGATGTACAGTTATACAGTACAGTTTGATGTACAGTTATACAGTACAGTTATACAGTACAGTTTGATGTACAGTTATACAGTACAGTTTGATGTACAGTTATACAGTACAGTTTGATGTACAGTTATACAGTACAGTTTGATGTACAGTTATACAGTACAGTTTGATGTACAGTTATACAGTACAGTTATACAGTACAGTTATACAGTACAGTTTGATGTACAGTTATACAGTACAGTTTGATGTACAGTTATACAGTACAGTTTGATGTACAGTTATACAGTACAGTTATACAGTACAGTTTGATGTACAGTTATACAGTACAGTTTGATGTACAGTTATACAGTACAGTTATACAGTACAGTTATACAGTACAGTTTGATGTACAGTTATACAGTACAGTTTGATGTACAGTTATACAGTACAGTTTGATGTACAGTTATACAGTACAGTTATACAGTACAGTTATACAGTACAGTTTGATGTACAGTTATACAGTACAGTTTGATGTACAGTTATACAGTACAGTTTGATGTACAGTTATACAGTACAGTTTGATGTACAGTTATACAGTACAGTTTGATGTACAGTTATACAGTACAGTTTGATGTACAGTTATACAGTACAGTTATACAGTACAGTTTGATGTACAGTTATACAGTACAGTTTGATGTACAGTTATACAGTACAGTTATACAGTACAGTTATACAGTACAGTTTGATGTACAGTTATACAGTACAGTTTGATGTACAGTTATACAGTACAGTTATACAGTACAGTTATACAGTACAGTTTGATGTACAGTTATACAGTACAGTTTGATGTACAGTTATACAGTACAGTTTGATGTACAGTTATACAGTACAGTTTGATGTACAGTTATACAGTACAGTTATACAGTACAGTTTGATGTACAGTTATACAGTACAGTTTGATGTACAGTTATACAGTACAGTTATACAGTACAGTTATACAGTACAGTTTGATGTACAGTTATACAGTACAGTTTGATGTACAGTTATACAGTACAGTTATACAGTACAGTTATACAGTACAGTTTGATGTACAGTTATACAGTACAGTTTGATGTACAGTTATACAGTACAGTTATACAGTACAGTTATACAGTACAGTTTGATGTACAGTTATACAGTACAGTTTGATGTACAGTTATACAGTACAGTTTGATGTACAGTTATACAGTACAGTTTGATGTACAGTTATACAGTACAGTTATACAGTACAGTTATACAGTACAGTTTGATGTACAGTTATACAGTACAGTTTGATGTACAGTTTGAATGTGTTGTTGATTGTTGGGTCCTGCTTCATATGACAATTTTGACTGTTTTGCTCGGAGCGCAGTAATGTTGCGCTTGTCGCGATGTAGGGTACTTGTCGTGAATTGCATGACTTTGCATGTGCTCCTGCCACGAAATGTGGAAGAAACTGTTACTATTGGCTGCTAAAGGGTACCTGATAAAAACAAGTGAGGTGGGCCTACATGTATATATGCCTGGTACACGAATTGTAGTGTACATGTGACTACACCACACCTGATGAAAGTACACCATCCTTGAGGCATAGTTACACACACACACACACACACACACACACACATAACCACACACATACACACGCACACACTCAGAATCACACCCACACTCACATGTGATCAAAACACACACACACACACACACACACACACACAAATATAACAAACAAGAAACCCATTTTGCCTGAAAACAAGGTATGATGATCAAAAAAGATGAGATTCTGTCGCCACACTGAATGATCACTGTTACTGTTGCCACTGTCCTGTCCGGCTGTCTGGTGTGTTTGTTCATGCCATTTTTATACTGTTCAGCACAAAGTTGTAGCGTAAGGCGAGACCAAAAAAATTGAGATTCCCAGGCCCTCCCGCACCAAAATCGAGCCAAAGCCAATTTTTTTTTTGAACAGTTCATACATGTACAGTTCATACATGTACAGTATCGTGTGAGTAGATCCGTGACGTGAAGTCACACAAACCCGAGCTTGTACGACTCCCAGATGCACAGATCAGGGCCATCGTTGGCTGAATTATAGAAAAATTGAACGCGTGCCTGTTTTCTGTAAAAAATAGAATAAAAATTACCGGAAAATGCTGTAAAAAAAGTTCAACATGGCATGCACATATATAGTCATGTACATACATGGGAAAAAATAAAAAATAAAAATCGCCCGCCCGCACCAATTTCACATGGGTCCTGCCCGGGAATCTCGATTTTATTTTGGTCTCGCCTAAGTTGGAAGTATGTGACGTGGTGTGAGTTGTTTTATGCCTGCCTTCAGGTGCTGAGCAGTAGCGGGTAATGCCGGCATTATATCGAGCACTACAATTATGCCCTATACTGCCTCGAAATTTAAAATCCTCTTCTGTAAATACATGTATACAAATTTTCGGCAGCTATTTAATTCCGGCTATATTCGGCAACGACCCAAAACGCCTTAGCCCTAGAAGTACCGGAGACATCATAATTATGATGCATTTGCGAATTTCAAAATGGGATTGCTGTTAGATGGGGGCTTAGAATCTCCCCAAATTTTGTGACTTTTATTTATTTTGCATTCTGTTAATGGCAGTGGGTTTTGTTTTCAAAAATTTAGTACAGTTCCGAAATGCCAGGGGGTGCTACCTAGAACTACCACGCGGCATCATATGACTCCACATACCATAGACATCAATAAAAGTGCGAATTTGGCTTAGAACCATGAAGGTGGCGATTTGTACATATGGACTTGCTAATATGCACATTTCACGTGCCGTTATGGTCAATATCGTAATCCCGAATCCTGCCGAAACAGGCAAATTTGTTAGTCCTAAGTTTGGAAAGTGATTCACCATGTCATCTGCAGTATAGAACGATATGAAGTGCCAGGGCAATTATACTATTCTAGAAACGTTCTTTGAGTTTACGTTGGTCTGGCGTAAGCCGTGTTCAGTAGACGCAGTGTCGCTGCCGATAAAGCATTTCATTTGATTTTGAATTTTTTTGGGCAGGAGTTTGGGGATGAATGCGAGGAGAGTGCCTGGAGCATTGTGCGCGAGCAATTAGAAGTGACCGAACACAGAGACACATAGTTATATGCTCCAGATGAAGATGAGTGAATACTAATTGCTCCGGCTTCTCGATCAGTATGATACGGGACCGGAGTCGAGGGAGCAAGCGGATAATGGTGGTGATAAAGCTATGGAGCCATACACATAACAGAACATCAATGTCCAAAACTCGGGCAGGATTTCCTTCATGAAGCTGGGTTCTCTGGCAAAGTTGGTAGATAGTGGAAAATGTGTTGCACCAAGCAAACGCGAACGCGCGCAACCGGTTGTTGCTTCCAAAGTGTGCGGGCTTTTCCGAGATATTCACCATTTTGAAGATTGGGCAGATGCATTATTTGCATTTATTGACCAGAATATGA